GCAATACATATTTAACAGTATAAGTTATGTACTTTTCCAAATATAAATTTAATTTAAACAAATATCGATATTATTAATAATAAATCCATCATACAAGCAACCTAACAACAAAAACTAAATATCAACCAATAAACAACTTAATATAGCGCTCTTAGCTAGTATGCAATGTCGTAAAACAAAAATTTATAATGATAAGAACGAGTTAATCAGTCAGTTGGATATCAAGATAATGGAGCAGTATAGAAAAGTGTGAAAGTAATACTGTAATCTAACAAAATTCTATAAATATCAACACTTATTGTTTCAGCCTACACTTAGCTACCTGTTTTATAAGTACCCAAAAACATCGTTTTAAGAGTCGTAAATTTTGCAAAAATTACCGAATCCATAATATACATTTTTTGCTTTTTTATTGTATGTGTGTGAATACTGGTTAAGGCTTAAGCCAGAATAAAAGAACATTTGTAGGGATGAATATTTTAGTTCAAATTTTATGTTGACTTTTAACCTTGCATCTAGTGGTTTTATGACATTTTGTTATAATACTGTTTGTTTATTTTAGCGCAATTACAAAATAGTCTATTTGGTTTCTGTCCACTGTGGGGAATTGAATCCTAGATTTTAGCGTTGTAATTCTGTAAACTTACCATTGACCTACCGGAGAACTTTATTATAACAAAAAATAAAAACGACAGTCTTATCTAAATTATCTTATTATCCTTCTAAATTCACTTGAATGAAACCACCAGATATTTACACCAAATCAAAGTCAACATCGTCATCTCAAAATGACCGGAAATAGATTATTTTGATTTTATGGATTTTAAGAGACATTTGAAAGCTTTTAATAATTTTTATGAAATAATTTTAAAATTTGAAATTTTAGGATCTGGAGAAACTGGATTCAAATCATGTATGTACTGCGCACCGTCTTATTTATTATTGTTTTGCGCAAAACTATACAATGGGCTAATTCAGTATCAGACTCTTGTAGTATTTATATTTTCCGGAAGATAATGTTGGAATTAGAGCTATAAAATAAAATGGGATGAGACATTTGTTAATTGAAACAAATATCCCTAGCAAAATTTTCAAAACAATAAACAAAAAAATTATATCTGACAATCTAGATGTATATACATCATTCAAACTAAATCTAAATGTATATCTTTATTCAGATAGTTTTCAAATTTTTAGTACTTGTCAAGGTCGTACCTAAAACTGTCTGTCAAGCCTTGTACTGCGTGAATCATGGATTACGAACTTTCACATGCCCCGAGTCATGAGCACGTTCATCTTTAAAGGTGGATGTTATAATCGGTGATTTCCTAAGCTGGCCTATGTGGGTCGCTTGGTCTGACATCCACGTGGGAAGATTGTACTATTGGACAGGTAGAGTAGATGGATAAGAAAGGCATTTTGGGAACTAACGCAGACTTCGGAGATTGTAATTTAACTCTAAGCAAGATCAGTACTATCATATTCGCCATAGTTTTCATATTGTGCTTACCTAGACAAATTAAAAAGTTATTGGTATTGTTTATTAAACGTTTTGTCCATGGTGTTCATGTGACATCCATTTTACTGAGTTGTGAATAAAATAGTTTCACACCAAAAAAACTTGCGTATCCAGTTTATTGATTTGTTGATAGTGTTTTCTCACCTGAAAGAAAACTTGTGTGTCCAGTTTATTGATTTGTGGATAAAAATTTTCTTAAATGAAAACAAATTACGTATCCATTTTACTATTTTGTGATATCTTACCTGAAAAAAACTTGTGTATTTATTTTATTGATTTGTGAATAAAGTGTTTTCTCACCTGAAAAACTTTGAGTACCGATTTTATTGATTTATGGTTAAGGTATTTTCTCACCTGAATAAACTTGTGTATTATCTCTTCTTTTGCGGTCGAGTCATTACTTACTACAACACCGCATAAAATTATAAGTACAGTAACGTACTAGCTGACCTTATTTTGTTAATTTCAGGCCTCAGTTTGTGAATGAAAAATCTCTTATATACGGAGACTCTGTTAATCAATGACCCTAGCTATGATCTGCCCATTACATTATATGTACATACTATTACAGAGGTTTTTAGAAATACCGATATCAAGGCATATTAATGTTTGGGATTGCACCTAAACTACTGCAGAGTTTGAGATTTACCTTACTTCTATATGATTTTATAACAGATTCTGAGTAAAATAAATTTAGTGACGATTTTTTATAAGAACATTTCACTTCTTTTTCTATAAACATCTTTCACATTTAGAAACATGTAATTATTTTGTATGGGACTTTGTATCTCATATTTCAGACACATTGAATTACTTAATGAATCTTATTCACACAGTATCTAGCTGTTCCGAGCTGTTTTATATGCAGAAACTCCACAGATAGAAGCACATTTCATGGCCTTAGTGGATGTTGACTCATTATGGGATGAGTATAGGGACAGGTTAAGCATTTCAAATATAGTAGGACAGTACTTCCTGATGAATTTGCAAAGAGGCATATATATTTCATCAGTAGCATTGTACAATAAGTGAAGTTTTGAAACATTCTGTATTTTATTAGCATATTATCTTAGTAAAATGTTACTTCTTATACAGTACCATTTAACACTGAAAGTTCAAGTTTTACTAGTTTCTCTTTTATTTCACAAGCTATAAATAATAAAAAACTATTATTATTTAGAAATAATAAACTGACTAAGTCTGATATTGACTAAAGGCCTCCTTGGCAGAAATTTGTGGAAGACAAAAAAGTATGTTTAAATGTCATTTTCTGTACCTCTGATTTTAAATTCGTAATGGACAAACTTAAGAAGACTGTGAAACAAATGTAATAATTATGCAGTCTAATTTGATCTTTATTACAAATATCAGAATTTAATACAGTAATATTGCTTCAGTGTATTTCACTTTTTCTAAAAATGAAATTAGTTTTTAGTATTTTTACTAACATACTGTTTAAAAAATAGGTTTTGTTCTTTTGTAAGTAGCATTGGGATTAGCTTTGATGTGTTCAGATATTCTGGTATGTATATGATTCTCCAACATTCACAAATGTAACTTTATAACCAAGTTTCTAACAATACAGAAGCCACAAGTACCACAAGTTTGCCAGCAATACAATTTCTTTCTAACAACCACATAATTATAGGTGGTTTGTTAGTGTCTTACCTACCTGTTGCTCAATCCTTATTGAAACACATGAACTTATAATAGTATTTTTGTGGCAACTGGTCAGGGATGTAGCCAGCACTATGATGTGTGTGTGTGTATATATATTTTTGTAGTGGGAGTCTTTTTCTTTAGAAATGTGGACTTTTCCTGCTATACAAAGAATTCAAGTGATTTACCTTATCCTAAATGACACTTGTAAAACAAAATTATTCAAATCTTAAGAGAGCAAAAACAAAAAGGAGCTTAGCTTACCTCACAGTAATAAGCTGTTAAGTTGTGAACATCTTAGGAAGTGGAGCTTTTACTTTTTAGAATATTGCGATGATTATTTGACCTCCCCACCTCTAGCTATTGACACTGTTGCTTATAAATAGTATGTTCCAAATGATAGCGAACAGCATTTTGAATGCAGTGTTTGCAATTATTTATTTTATTTGTAACACCAATCAAAACCATCATATAGTTCTAAATACTAATAGCAATATTTCTAACCAACATGATTAATAAAAATTACCCCAGCAATCACGTTATAAGCATAATAATTTTTCAGTTTATGAGTTTCACTCAGAACATAATCATATGAAGTGGGTAGATGCACAGCTCTGGCACTGGCTTTTTCCACGATAGTTCATGAAATGGGTACAGTCTGGATCAGACTATTGAATGTTATATAGTATTATCACAAGTAATACTCCAGTGGTCTTATGGAACAAACCAATCTCACAGTAGGCACTGACTGAGTCAAAGTGGATGGTATTAGCACTTTCTATTATCCTGGTTCGATACAGATTTTGCATAAGTATACCCTGGGCTGGGATGCAACACTAGCAACCTCATGGGATCTGATAATAGAATGAAGGTGAGGAAGGAATAATTAAAAGAATACTCTCACCTGTTACAGGCACAGTGTCAATTAAAGAATAGGCATTGATGGAAAAACTGTATGCTACTGGAGACGAGACAACCAGATGGTGTAAATAGTGAGGCAAATGATTGTGGGTAGTCCACATGCTGGTGTGGAGAATCTCCTCAAGCTGTCAATGGGAAGCTGCCAGAGACTGTGTCAGAAGATGAATCTGGTAGTAGGAGACACAAAATGGTGGACGACTAACCACACCCAAGGAAAGGTTAAAGATCCAGATGAGTTGGAGGATCCAATTGGCAAGTGTGGAGGGAGCAAGGATGCTAGTAGATGAGAGGTCCCAAGCAAAGTAACGATGGTGTTGGGAACTCTAAAAGGAGGAAGTACAGGAGAGATAAAAACTAACAGCCCGGACCACATATAGGTGTCTATCCGGAACAGAACATCCATAAATGAGTGAAATCGGGGAGAGGGAAGAAGGATGGATCATCTTCCTGAGTACCCAAAGTCTTAGGAAGGAACAAATGATCAGGGTAGAAAAGAACGTACAAGCTGTGGAAATGTATTCGAGTAGAATTGGTAGGATAAAATCAGAACAATGAAACAAGGAGAAGAAAATTAAGAGAGGGGCAATAGAGGGAGAGCTGCAAGGAGTTCAAAAAGGATCGACAGTGAGGGCATGAAGACCACATTCAATTCCCAATCAGGCAATGGAGTGAAAATAGAAGGCACGTGCATTAATGAGGAGCATGGGAGAGTGGTAAGGACAGGGAAGGGAAGAAAAAATGTGGAACTGGGAGAGACAGAATGTAGAGGACAGAGTACCCCAAGACCCCAGAACAGTAGAAACAGACAGGCTCAGACAAACCTCAGTCAAATAGTCATGTGAAATTTAGGTGGGAGTTTTCACAAGGTTGGTGGCATGGAAGTTTTTAAGACAGATTAGCACGACTTTAAGAGGAAAATAGCTTTCTATGTCAAGAGGTGAGTGATCATATCAGAATTTAATGTATTATTATCAAATGTCCTGCTGTTTTTTAGTTTTTTCATCTTGGCACTTATTTTGAGTTTGATGCATGCCAAGTCCCAATGTCTTGAGCAGTTATTCAGTCTATCATGATAAACATTAAAATGACAATAGCACAATGTACTGAAATCATGACATTCATCACTTCTTGACTGTTAATACAAGATGTGTGTGTCACTTTGTATTCATATTTAAGTCATATAAGATATTTCAAACTTTTTCTTATGAGTTTAACTAAGAATACAGAATAAGTTCAGTGAACTTAATAAAACTTGAAAACAAAAAGACATATGAAAATGTTCCCCTCCCACAACAGAATTAGGTAATTATGTACTTGGAGATCTGTTCCTTTATAAGCCATCTAGCTACTGCAACACCCTCTACATGAATGATGAAGCCTCATGTAATTAAGGGAACACAAGATACAAGTAAACAATCAGTCATACTTATGATGCACTGTAATTTGATATGTATTTCCAAAAAGAGGAACTGTATGTACAATAAAATATATGGAATTAATAATCAGCCAGAAATCCAAATAAAACAATAATCATAAGATACAGAAAACAAACATAGAACCCCAAAACCTGTCCTAGATACAAGTAAAACAAGAAGTTACATGAAAATACATAGGAATCCTTCCAAAACAAGTTAAACACTATATATGGAGTATAAGCAGGAGTAGAGTGTTTTTGACAACGGATTACTAAACACAGAATTAATCACTGGCCCATAACTGCCTGCCTTGTTATTTTAGTTAAATAAAAAAAAATCAGTGACACCTTTGTGATTTGTACACACTATAAAAACACAGCTCATGACCTTCTGACCCATATAAATGATCAACACCCAGCCATCCAATCCAATGCGAGAAAATAATATTCTAACAGACTTCTCTTCCTTGTCACTGGAATGTACAGAGAGTCACATGATACTATTATGTATCCAGACAATACATCAAACTACCCAAACAGCATTTAAATGGTGTTATAGTCTTTTTCCAGAATGTGAGGTTTGCAAAAATGAATCTAATCATATTAGAACAATAATAAGCAACAGATCCACAAAGTAGGATTTCAAAGACTGAATAGGAATGAAACAGTAAATAACATATAATTATGTATAATAACAGTTACATATTCCTACTCAACAGCATGAAGTCAAGGCAATTTCTTAAAGCCAAAACATTCAAAATCCAAACTGATATATATATATATATATATATAT